AACAACAATCAATAACCAGAACCAGGGGGATCTCTATTGCGCTGTCGATTAATCATTTTAAAGTTTCGCCGCCCAAAGACTGACTGTAAATAGTGGGTGTAGTTAGCTTAGCTGCCTAGCTAGCGGCAGCTCCTCGACCAAACGCGGCGTAAAGGCGACGCCATTCCACGCACGTTAAAACACGGAGTTTAAAATGTATATTTGTGAAATATAAATGTACCTGGCCCGTTCTCAAAGTGCGAAATCGGCCGTCAACTTCGACAAGAAAGCATGAAAGCAGCAGGAAGACAGACGGCGGGTTGGCGTTCAATAACAACGGCTCGGCGGATATTAATAACGCAGGCTGGAGAGGCGCCGATCCCTAACCCGGATACAGTCACCCTGCTACGGCTCCGGGACCGGTCCTGGCGGATACCTCCGTCTATCCTCCCCTTTTGCTGCGGATGATCTGGACTTCTCAGATTTATATCAAACAGCCTTCTGTCATTGTCACTTAAAGCCGAACTACTACATTCTTTCATGTCAACCCCCGCATCTGCATGGCGTGACACTCACAAACAGAATGGCCCTTAATTCTTCGCTAGCTAATAAAAAGATCCTCCTAAATAGTTGGTTCCCTGTCGTGAAGACCTAAGGAGCATTCTGTAAAGTTCAGATGCTTTCCATTTATTAACAGCTGGTTTTCCTGTAGGCCTATATTATAAATTAAAAATAAAAGGAACAATCACTCAATAGCTATATAGAATGACTGAACATTTTCCTTAAGTTTTTAAATAGCAAGAGACTAAATCAGAGTACATTACAACTCTGTATTTGGCAACTGAAACTACAAATGAATGAATTTCGTGATGAATTTTGGTACATTTTTGTTTGTTTTTAAAATCCAATACGTATACGTATTTAACGAACTGATGCATACTGCTATAAAACAGGTTGTATAACAATCATGCCCTCTAGAGCAGTGGTTCTCAAACTTTTTCAGCAGGAGGCCCCCTGGTGTAGGGTGAATCCTTTTGTGGCCCCCCTCCTCAAAAAAAAATCATGACACAAACCATCCTGAAACTTACAATTTTACTTAATTTTAGATTTTAGATTCTGTTTGTAGTCTTTATTTCTCTGGTTTGCTAAATTTACATTTCACAAAATATAACATTGTATTAAAACAGTTTTGACAGTAAAACTAACATTGTCTGCAACAAAAGTACCGAGTACTGAACAGTAATTTATGATGTCCATAGCAGCGTAGCGTATTTATATTTACATTTTTTATACTTCCAGTAGGTTTTCTATCATACCCAGCTTCTGATGAGCCACACCTGTTCTCAGATAAATACCAGGAACAGGTGTGGCTCATCAGAAACCAAGTGGGACAGAAAGCCAACTGGATAGTAGCTCTCCAGGACCGGAGTTGGAGACCCCTGATTTAGACTAATAAAACTAAACAAAACTGAAAATGAAATAAAAACTACAGAAAATTGCAAATCTATTATAACATTGGACCATAAAGTGATAATATGCATGCAAATATATTTGTGAATTTTTTCACATCATATTCTGTTAAAAACATCATGGATATTGTGATTTTGGAGGGTATATTCATTGTTCGTAAGATTTAAGTGTAAAAACAGCCTATTTTCCTATGACCTGCCAGATGTATACACACACTGACCTATGACTGACTGACCACATTTGATTGGTAGATCAGTCTGCCCAGTATGAGCTTGGTTTGGTCCTCATGGGTCACTATTTTGGGTGTTTCAGGATTAGATCTGCAGTTGCACTTAAGCCATAGAGCTCAATGAAGTGAAATGTTTAAAAATAAACAAATGTGCTAAAATACATTTGATTTTTTTCACAAATCAAAGTTTGTAGAACACAAATGCATTTTTAATATGATTGACAGTGTGAGTTTTGGAAACAGGCTTCCGATGTCAAAATGACTGTCTTTAACCCCTGCTGTCTCATGCACTTATCAGTCACTGGCAGATTAACTGTGGACTGTGAAAAATTCACAAATCAGACAGGTAATTATCAGCCTGGTTGTACCTCTTTATATGGTCAAGTTTTTTTTTTTTTAATTCACTCTTGAAAATAAAAAGAAAGTATAATATTGAAAGATTTGAGGGTGGGGGGGTGACGGCATCTGAATTCACAAATCACAAGCAATGAAATGGCACCTTACGGCACTTTAGAGATAATGTAGTTAATCCTTTTAAGCCAAATCAGGAGTCAGAAGTCACTTGTGTGGCATCCCAAAATCAGTCTTTTATTGCATCCATGTAGGTTACATTCAAGACTGGACACCCTGTGTGTCCTATGGTCAGTAACACTGATTTTTATACACTTTTCATATGTCTCATCAAGATATTTGCATCAAGCATTAAAACCAGCCAAGGACGTTACAATGGAGACCCAGGCAAGACACCCTAAATAACTGTGAGAATTCAGGTGTTTCTTCAGTAATACAGTAGCAGTCTTTGGCAGTTTCAGCTGGCTACATATTGCTTAGCTACAAACACAATTATACTCTTTGGCCTTCAACATAGCGATAAGCTGCAGAGCTGAATAAGGCAGATATTCATACAACTAGGGCTAAAATAAGATACAGAAACTTTGAGGCCAACATAAGGTGCAGAAAAGCTTATATTGGTTAATATCTCTACGGTATTGTGCTGAGGATTACATTCACACTTATACATCCATCCATCCATCCATTGTCCAACACACTTATACAGTATTATATAATATTCCACAATAAAATAAAAATCCAAGACCGGACACCCTGCATGAGTGTGTCACATGGTTAGTTACACTGATTTTTACACACTTGTCATATGTCTTATCAATATATTTGCATCAAGCATTAGAACCAGCCAAGGACGTTACAATGGAGACCCAAGCAAGACGCCCTAAATTACTGTGAGAATTCAGGTGTTTCCTATCTGGCCACATGTTGCTTAGCTACAGAGCCAATTACAGTTGAGGCCAAAATTATTAGCCCCCCCTATGAGACCTTAAAAGAAAACCTTAAGCAGTCAGCAGCAAAACTGGGTCTGGGTCGTCGCTTTGTCTTCCAACACAACGATCCCAAACATAGTTCTTCACCGGGAGAGACGTATCTCCAGAAAACCAACGTGAACGTAATGGAGTGGCCTGCACAAAGCCCTGACTTAAATCCAATAGAAAATCTGTGGGGTGAAATAAAGAAGAAGGTCCATGCCAGAAGGCCATCAAATCTGGAGGAGCTTGAGAGATTTGCCAAAGGAGAATGGGCTGGGATTCCTCAGATGACCTGTCAGAGACTTGTTGAAAACTACAACAATCGACTGCAGGCTGTTATCCAACAAAAAGGATACACAACTGACTATTAATATCCGGAGGGCTAATAATTTTGACCACGGTAGTTTTTGGGTTTTTTTGTGGAATATTTTCATTTCTGTGTGAAAAGTAAAATAATATAAGCACCCAAAATAAAACTGATGTCTAAAAAAAGCCATGTTGAATATTATTTGCTCTATGTAACAGCACTTGGGAAATACTTTTAAAACAATGAGATTTTCATAGGGGGCTAATAATTTTGGCGTCAACTGTAGATATATATTCTTACAGGAATGTCATGATGAGAGGTTAGCTGAGCTGAACTTGTTCAGCCTCATGCAAAGGAGATTAAGGGGGAACATGATCCAGGTATATAAGATTCTAACAGGTCTGGATGCTGTTCAGTCAAATGGCTACTTCAATATTAGTTTATATACTAGAACTCGTGGCCATAGGTGGAAATTAGCTTGAGAATGTTTATAAATTTCTTATGTTCTTATATAACCACAAATACAAATGACAGTAGTCTACATAGTTTTAACCATAATAAATAACTAACCATCCCATATCAAACTAATAAATTACACTTGGCTCACACACATCTTTGCTCTGCATCTGGGTGCTCTATTCCTGATCTGCCCCATGACACAAAGCAATCAAGGCAAGGTGGTTTGTGCATATTTCACAAAATGTGATATAAGGTGGTTTTGGTTTGGTAAACACTTTTTCAGTGACTGCAGAATCAGCATCTCCCACATGCCCTCTGGAATGTTGGCATGGACGTCACCCCTGTAGCTGATGGGAGAGAATGAACTGCAGGGGTTCAAGTCACAGGCAGGATGCACACAGGACCAGTTTCCTACCCGTACAATTTTTTGGATCAGTCACATTCTTTTGTGCAGGTAAAAATGCAGAACAACCTTTGTCCACTTCAGCTTATCAAAACACATTAGTCTTGCCGTCGGTTTTTCTTTTCATCCCTACAAAAAAAATCTGTCCATGCTTTACTTCACCTTTGTTTCACTGCTGGGGGGGGGGCACACAAGGTTATCCAAATTTATCTGTGGGGAGTTCAGTCCATTTCACTAAGTGGGACATCTTCAGGAGTCGGCGTAGGCTCAGTCTGCTTCCTCCTCCTTCTGAAACACAGAATCCCCGCAATCCCCGCAATCCCCACAAGCACCAGAATCACCACAATCCCCACAATCACAGGCCAGCTCTCTGTCAGCCGTGCACTTGGAGGGGCCCCTGCAGAATGAATAAAAATTACATTTTCATACAGACATCAAATCTTCAATTAAAAACTTTTTGTAACATCCAGCAGAGTCACATTACTGAGCTGAAAGCCCAACCCAGAGCAGCTTCCCATCTGACCCCTGACTGTTAAGGACCTCGTTCAATGGTACAACAGCAGGACCCCACACCCTTAACACCCCACCCGCTGTCCCCTGAACACCCAGTCAAACACAGTATTAAACATTCTCTATAATGGCTAATATCACAGGAGGCCCACAGTGTGGTGACTGTATCTGCTGTGAACTGCAGGTACTGGGTGGCTCTGCACAGCCAGCATGACCCTCTGACATCTTCACCCTCAGCCTGTAAACAGCCGCTCTCTCTACACAGCCCTGTGTCCCCTCTGATCCCTTGTAGGTCATTAAACAACTGGCATCACTCGTAACTGAAGGATCAGAGAATGTAGGATTCACTCTGGGGCAGAAGCATGTTTATCAGACAGAGTATAAACTTACCTAGAGGGTTTTCATCAGGAACTTCTTTGTCTTTGTCTTTGTCTTCATCCGGCTTACAAAAAGGACCGTCTGATTGGGGAGGGAAAAGAGAAACAAAATCAGCTGGTCCTGTACCAAATAAGAAACAGTGACACAGTCATCATCTCTGCACATTGGTGATGCATTGGCATACTACACACATTCACTGTGATAGGCTGAGTCATGATGTCATCACAGTCATGATGTCAGCACTGACACACTACCCAAAAAAAAACAAAAAAAGAATAGAAAATGGCATGCAGAAGAAATTCCAGATTTATTACCAAACCTGATGTACGCAAATATATACGCAGTCTCACGCAGAAACACACTTTCACTGACTGGGGCATGATCACACATTTCATTCAATATCATAAACTTAATTAATGGCAATTAAATTATTTCTTATATATTTGTTTTGGCATTAAACTCATCTTTATCTTAGTGTACTTTGTAAATATGTCAGATTCATGTTTAGTTTGTAATTTGACATCAAAGTATAGACATTGCAAAATGCAGTATGGAACAATTGCAGACACATTATAAAAGTACACAGTAAGCAATGCTGGCAGTTTGTTTTGATCCCAGATATCTGATCACCAAAGTCTCGGCTACATGAAAATGACTAAATGGTGTAGTTGCAACATTCAGCTGGATAAATAAATAAGAAAAAGCGTAACTCATGTCACTATTTCTGGCTCCTTTCCGTTTTAAAAAGAAGACCGATTACGGATTTAGTCAATGTTTTTTCATGTTTCTATAATAAGATTTCAGCGAGTTATGAACTGAAATACACAAGAAATATATTCGGCACCGCCGACGATGCCGTCGACTCCAGAGGGTTAATGGGTGCATAATGTCCAACAGGCCTGATCTCAGCATGAGAACTGCCTCAATTAAACCCAGTAAAGTGGCCTCCTACAGACACACCTGAACACAAGCAGCAGAGTCAGTCTGAGCCTCAGAGCTACAGCAGTGTGTGAAACGCAAATGACCAGGGGGCCTGGGAACAGAGAGGAGCTGCAGAGGGGGGGTCCCTACTGCTCTCATCTTCTGGGTGGGGGCTCTGCTCAAGCAGGGCAGGGGGCAGGCTGAGCTGGAGGAGGGTTTGCTCCACAGAGACGGGGTCTCCTGAGGTTTAAGGTGGCCGGTCAGAGGGTTTACTTACCGTTAACATAAAGGTTATTCCTCTGCATTACTTTATCATTTATCAGACACTTATATTCCCCCTGATCCTGCAGTCTGACATCATTAATGACCAAAGAGAAGTTATTCTGTCGGATGGATGCAAACCAAGTTCGGTTTAAAAAGTGTGGATGTTCACATTTTGGAATCCCATTTTCATATGAACAGATTTCAGCTCCTCGAAAACGCCACAAAGCTTTATCTACTTTGGTGTCTTGATCTGCTGCTTCACCACAGCTCATTGTGGTATTCCATCCAGGACAAGTATCTGCAACTGATTAACATAAAGAACAAAGTCATTAGAAGATCAGTATTATAATTACACATGATTCTATCCCTCCACATTGATTGGTCCATTCATTATGCCTGGGGAATTTGTCCTAATTACGGACCACAGCTTAAATTCAGCACAATCAGCATCATCACACAGAGCAGCTACAGCGTAACCAGGCAGCTAAGTTACAGGAACACAGTGAGAGACCCGACTGTCCCTTATAAAGGGGGGGATTTTACAGCCGACACCCATGTCAGACACTCACACCATCATATAATTAATAAAACAGATCAGGATTAACATATACAGCTAATTAGGCCACAGAGTCAGTGTAAGGTGTTTACTCACTTAAGGTTTCCTGATGAATGTAGGTAGATGGTCTACCAGGCAGAGGAGCAGAAGTATGACTATCCATCTGCAGCCAGAGAAGATCGAGATGAAAGAGGTCAGGACTGACACATATAAAGGACAAGTCAGACTGCCTGTCTGCAGTCTGCATCCTCGGGGTCTGACCTGAACATTATGTTATGTCTCAGTGTAACTGTGTTGTGTTACAGGACATTCCAGTGACAGTGGTTAATTGTTCCTGTTCCTGCCATCAGTGATTGGGTGTTGTAAAGGGGTGCTGTTCCTTTAAGAGAGGACACTGCGCTCTTCCATTAGCAAAGCTCCGCCCAGTCACGTTCTGTCATCATGACCGTTTGCTGCTTGTGTGACTGACAGGCATGGCTTTGGCGTTGTACCTTGTTATTTTTGTTATTTGGTCTTATTTTTCCGTCTTTTGCTATACGAGCCATTATTCGTATTATGTATAATAAACCTTTTGTTTTACTGGTTATTTTGTTCGTCGTGTGTTGGAGGTTTTTCGCCATCTCCTTTTCTTTGCTAAGGTGTCCTATCCCTAGACTAGCACTTAATTAAAAACATCTCATCCTGACCATCTTTATTAATGTATTAAAGTTAATATCAGGTCTTGATCACTGACTAGTAGTTAAATCTGTTCTTAGAAACTAGTAAAACACTGACAGCTATGGAGGTACGGTACATCGTTTAACATGTCAGTATTTATTATAAATCAAGATATCGGTATCAGTCTGATGGATCAATATGGGCTGATATTGCTGACTGACATGTGAACTTTAAACAGTAAAAGTTAGCAGCACCAGAGCTGAGTACAGAACTACTACAGTAACTGAGATGATCACATTGGCTTTTTGCATAGTGGAGGATGAGGGATTTTATTGGCTCATTCATCAGAGATGAGGAACACGATGCCCCCACCTCCCCAGGACCGATCACCTGGTCTGATAATACGAGACAAAATCACGTCCCATGTGGGATCAAAATGGGACACAGTTTATTTTACGATACGGGACGATCCTGTGAAATGCGAGACGGAGTGGAAACTCTGCTTAGAAGAGGCCTCAAAGCACCAGCCAGTCAGACCGTTTTAAATTCACCATAAAATCAATCTTTAGTTTTACACAGAATAAAAAGCGATTCAACATCATTCCTCTCATCAGCACAGGCAACTTTCAGCATCGACACCTCACTGCCTGGCAAGAGTATCAAAAGTTAGTCAGTAATCGGTACAGGCGATATTAGACAAAAGAAATATTGGCTACCAGTAATCTGTCAAAATATCCATATCAGTGCACCATTATTGACAAGGTTGCCGGTTCAAGCCCAGCCTCAGGACATCTACGGCTCCTTGAGCAAGACCCTTAACCCTGGTAACTAAGGTAACACGCATTTAACAAACCAACTTTAAATGTTTGGCATTTAATATAGGTTTGTAGCGCACGCTGCACACTAGACGGCTTTGGATACGGGTTATTAATGCCGGGACACTTTCTATCCCTTATTGCACCTCAACCCCATTCTTTAACGTTTCACCACAGTTGCAATTGTTGTTGTTGTCGTCATTATTATCATTGTCATTTTGATTGTTATGGTAATTGTATCATGTCGGTATTGACGCTCAAAAATGTTTTATCTGGAAGCAGTGTGCCACATACTATACATCCACACATACATGTAGGCAGTCACACACCGACACTCACATACACGCCCACTCAAACCTGCACACACCCCCTCATCTTAACATCATACATGTATACATCCATAAAGTCACACTCACATATACACACGCCCACTCGAGCACAGACACATGTCCTCATCTTATCATACATGGAGACATTCTCACACTGACACTCGAACAAACATGCCTCCGGACACATTCACACTCATACACACACAGTCATTTACACACGCACACATCCATCCATTTTAACTTTAGATCGTACTCAGGGGGCCTAAGTTAGTACAGCATGAACTCATTACGCTTTGCCACTTGGAACGTGCGTGGTACTGGCTCACTTGCTAAGAGACATAAAATCTTAGAATATCTAACAACATTACAGGCAGACATTGTCCTACTGCAGGAAACTCACTTAGCCAAATCAGGACAATGTACATTAAATTCACCAGAATCTCCACACGTATATTTAGCTAGTTATAATTCAAAACAAAGAGGTGTAGCAATTTTAGTTAACAAAAGAATATGTTTCAACTGTAAAGACATCATCATAGACTCAGAAGGAAGATTCATAATTATTAAAATTTCAACATACAACAAAGAGATATGTATTGCCAATATATATGGTCCAAATAGTGATGACCCCTCCTTCTACCACCACCAATATCAACACACTCAGACACAGAACTTTTTGGGAGGGGACTTCAACTTAGTACTTAATCCAGAATCTGACAGATGTAGTACAGCAGCTAGTGAGTAATCATTTCTGTCCACTTTGTCCTGTGCAGTGAGTAGCAGCACTGGAGTCTGAGAACGATACGTGCTTTCAGGTCAGAGTCTCCAAAAGTCTCCAGTAACAACAGAAAAAGTTGCTAGATTTGTCGCTAGTCGCTTTTTTGAAAACGACTCGCTAGAGGGGTCTAAAAACTAAATATAGCGACAAAGCCTGCCACGTGTCTGTGACAGCCAGGAGCGGCAAGTGGGAGTAGCCGTGCTTACAGACAGCCACAGTGCATTTATAAGAGAAAATAAAACTAAAGTGTCGATCTCATTAAACCGGTATTGATCAATATCAATACCAACATTATTATCGATACTTGGATCGATCCGCCAACCACTAGTATTAAGATATAGAAGAGTACGTTATAAGAGAGCGGGATAAGCAGAAAACATGTGCACCAGCAGAAGTTGTATGCAAGTTAATTAAAGTTTCGCCTACATAAATCCCCCGATTCGGCCCGGGTTACAGTCACAGTGTGTAGGTATGTTACAATCCACGGGAATCCCGGCCGTCATTTTCTACGCCACTGCTATGCGATATAGGTGCATCACAGGGTAACCCCAAGGTAAAATGGGCAGTGCGCTGTCTGTGATCGGCCATTTCTGCGAGATTCCTTGTTATGACATACTTAGGATTCCCCTCTTCAGCCTCGAATTCGAATTTTTCAATTTGATCATACGGTTTGTCATTTTTGCTTGCGCCGAAATTTTTCATCAAGTTCAACCTGTTCTAAACCAAAATCTATGCTTTGGACAATAACAAAAGCTAATTGGACGCTCTTTCTATTGTTTTTTCTGTTAACTGGTGAAGTTTCATCAAAATCAAATGAATCCGAGACAGTTATTTACCGTTCCGAAGATCGCCTGTCTGATTGACTGAGGGTCATGGCGGAAAAAACGAAACAATAAAAATACGGTTTGCGAACGACCAGGTGTTATGCCGAAAAACGCATCCCTGCCGAAAAAGGCATCCCTGCCTTAAAATGCATGCCGGTGTTCCGACGAGTTGAGCTTTTAAGGGTTTTTTTGGGGTCATGGGTTTTTTAGGGGTTAGGGTTAGGGTTTTAGGGGTGTTTTTGTGGTTAGGGTTAGGGTTTTAGGGGGGTTTTGGGGGTTAGGGTTTTAGAGGTTTTTTGGGGGTTAGGGTTAGAGTTTTATGGGTTTTTTGGGGCTATTGATTAGCACTACACTAGCCTTACTCGACAAAGTAGCTCAACTCGTTTCAGAACAGCGACCAATCGGTCATTTAGAGACAGGCATGCATTCTACGGCAGGGATGCCTTTTTCGGCATAACACCGGCATCAACATTCATTGTGTAGGCCCCTGACTTTGAATAGTATCACTCGAAAGTTTACTTTAGTAATCAAACCACAATAAATGTGTAGCCAACCCCTATGTTTGTAAGCTTGAGAGCTCAAAAGTCTAGTCAAACCACATTAAAAGCTTTATAATATTTTTGTAGATCCATAACGATATTCTTTTTTCGAGAGGCAAACAAACAAAGGACACTAACATAGTAACAAGTCTGGTAAAAATCAGATATTGCATGCTAGGATACTGTTTACGGTCATGATATGGTATTCTCTAAATCGAACACATGCCATTCTACCATTAATTAAGAAACTTACCTTCGACTATAAGAACCCGACGAACAAGATACACGTTAGCAGGGCACAGTGTTGCCAACTATGTCCAATGAAAAGTAGCTAAAGCCTGCCCGAAAAGTAGCCAGGTGACGTCACGCACTAATTTGCATATCAGTGGCGTCATCACGTAGTATCTGACAAGCGTAAGCCCGTCATGTCTACTCTCTGAGGCGCCGTGTATTATATTATATTAAAACATTACATCCAGATGCACAATAAATAGGTTCTTATTAACATATTACTTTGCGTGATGACGTCATTGCGTAATCGCAACTCAAAACTACATCTTTATGTAGTATACAAAATAATTAATGTTTTCTCAAATTGACTGGCCATCTCAGCAAAAACATTATTTGAAATATGTCCATTTAGATTTGTATGAAAAATATAGTTGACTATTTGTAAAAGTAATACAAACACTTTATGATAAGATTTTTTTATTTTTAAATATAACACTGATAAGGCCACTTAAAATTAATGAATTGTTTTACATGACTCAAACTTCTAAAATATTGGTGAGTAGGGGATTTTATATTTTATATTTTTAGCGAAAAGACGATCGGCAACAGAGATATACTAAAACTAGAAAATTAAACTTTAATTTGTCAGTATCTCAACATTTTAAACTCTCAACAGTTCAAACAATTACAAGAAAAGAGAAACCTTCAAAACAAATGCCTAGTCTAAATGTTTAATGATCTTGCCACAGAATGACCCAATAAAAGCGTCCTCCTGACAATAGCAAAACAACAGCACTTCCATTGTTTCAAACAATAGAAGTGCTCTTGTTTGACCTAAATGAGGGTCACTATTATTGGACCACCCTACAAGAGACTACTTGCTCACAGTGCACAGGATATCAGGATTTGGCACATTGACGATCTCTGACAGTTTTTGAGGTGAAAAAAACGGATTTTTTGAAAAATATAAAATATAAAAAAAATCGAGGCGGCACCAAAAAATTGAGGCGGGCGGCCATGTAAAACAATTTATTAATTTTAAGTGGCCTAATGAACAGTTACATTCTTTTAAACAATCACAGCTTGTGTACTTACTCTTTTTAACTTGTGAAATTAACACATCTGTGAAAGTGACAACAATTATAGCACTATTGGAATTTATTGCTACCTAAATTACCAACAAATATAAATGTTAACAAATATCAGTAAATTAACAGTTATGAAAAACAATTTGAGCGAGCAATTTAACTTGAATGTGATATGTGTGTGTTGCTAGGCATCTCTCAGGAAGGTGGTTCTTCTTGGCTGGTTAGCTGTACAGTGTTTCCTCTGGCATTCTTTGATTTCCATTTCGATGATTCACAGATTAGCAAGTAAATCATCTTCACTGTCCAGCTGCTTTATCACTGAGCTGGTATCAGCAGAAGAGGATGGTGTAGCTTTAAAACTGTATGCTGCAGCTGTGCCTGGCTATTTAGACCTTATGTAGCCCCACCCCCGCACTCTACTGAGTGAAGCCTGCAGCCACTGCTCTTTTGAGTCACTTTTTAAAAATTGCTAAAAGTAGCCAAATAAATGTAAAAAATTGCTAAATTTGTTGCTAGGTGCTTTTGCTATAGGGTAGTATGAAAAGTTGCTAAATCTAGCAACAAAATTGCTAAGTTGGCAACACTGCGCGTCCCGCGAGTCCCGCGGGCGTCCCGCCCCGTTGCAGACCTCTATTGTGCATTTCTCTAGACTTTGACTTGAAACATTTATATTTACTGTGTGTCTAATTGATACGAAATTATTACCACTAAACAGCTTTATTGTGGACAGAAGTGACAAGACAATATATAATCGTGTTTATAACTTTATGCCTATATGGTGTATATCTCTTACACAACTATCTACAGCCACCATAGGACTCATTTAACTCATTATTTCCAAATAGGCCATTTCAGTTCCAATTGTTCCTTTTTATTAATTTGCGCATTTCAGCTTCCAAAACGCAGTAATTCCACTGCCTTTGATTACTGAACAGATAAACAGATGAACAGATGTTTATAATAATAGATACTTTATTGATTGCCGTGGGGAAATTGTTTTTACGCCTCCCTCAATGTTACGATCAGTTCTGTGGGTGAGCAGGGAAGCAGGGAAAAGGAGCCGGGAAGTCAAAATAACGGGGTTTAATTGGGGAAACAGGACCGGGGAAAGCACACTGACAAACGTCAATGACCGATCTCGGGTACACTGACGTAGACACGGACTAAATACAAGACACAGGCTAAGGGTAACGAATCACAGGTAAGAACAATCAGGGGATCACACGAGGTAACGAGGTGGGCGTGGCACACATCGGGAGCGGACGGAGCGGGGCGTGACACTCAACTTGCTCTTTGCAGAGTAAGTTGTCTGTGAAGGGCAGTCACCTGTTGGGGCGCCCAGGGAGCTGGGGGTTAAGAGCCTTGCTCAAGGACCCACAGACATGCTGAGGCTGGATTTGAACCAGCGACTTTGTGATTACAGGTACACAGGCTTAGCCCACTGCCTGCTAAGGTTGGCACTTTCTATCAAATAAACATGGATCCCCCATGATTTGGGGGGGTCTCACACAGCTATCTACAGCCACCATAGAGAGTGCAGGCACTGCTGGGCTCGATGGGTCAGGGAGCTGGTGCTGATTGGCCATTTGAGGTCCTCAGTGATGTAACCAGGTGCTCCTCAAAATATGCTTAACTGTCACCTTCAGATATATGCTGTATGGATAATGAGCTGAAATATCGCTCTCATTGGTCTAATAATAAGTGATGAAGAGGATAGAAATACTAAGACGAAAACATCATACAGACCTGGTGTTATAAGACATGACATTAGGACCGAAAGTTACAGCTGACCGCTGATTGGTGGGGAAAGATTGTGCAAATTGATACAACAGTCTTTATCTACTAAGGATCTTCTGTAACCACTTGTCCTATTCAGTGTTGGGGGGGTCCGGAGTCTATCCCGGGGGCTATGGGCACAAGGCAGGGAACAACCCAGGATGGGGCACCAACCCATCACAGGGCACATTCACACACCATTCACTCACACATTTACATGCTCTCCCCGTGACGTCGCGGGGTTTCGTCAGGGTACTCCGGTTCCCCCCATGGTCCAAAAACCTGCTGAGGTGCATTGGAGTTACCAAACTGTCTGTAGGTGTGCTTGTATGAGTGAATTGTGCGTATGCGTGCAAGGGCATAGCACCAAATTTTGAGGCCCGGACACAGTGTGCCCCCTCTTTCCCCCCCTCAACACCCTCCCAAGAAAATAAGGGCATAGAAAAACACATATTATGTATTTAATATATTATATTTAGTAATTTCTGCAGTTCTACTTACAGTCGAATCTCTTTGCACCTGACAGATTGTCTGGCTAGAGGGTTAATAAGGTATTTGTCCTTCAACATAGTGATAAGCTGCAGCACTAATAAAGTA